CTTTATTTAGTATGTTTGGAGACATTTTCTTTCTCTATTTTGGCTGATTTTAGAGTTAGTTGTTGATCTCAGAAAGCTGACTATTGAGTAGTTATGCTGTTTTGTCTCATTTAGATGTGGCCAGAGTTCATTTAAAATAAGTTGTCATTATATTACTTATCAGTTGTTATGGAATTGCAGGGAACAGTCCCTGTTCTCAGTAAGCTGTTTTAGGAGAAAAAAAATTGAATTTGGCTAGGACTATGTGACATTTTTTCACTCAAACTCAGTTTCAGATTGGTTTACCCCAAAGTCTCTGGGAAACAAGGAGGCAAAGTGATGATAAAGGGTTTGGCGTGAGCTGCCTTCTCAGCCAGACTCACCTTTATTTAGTTGGTGATGGGCTGTGTCTAGTCTCTAAGACATCCCTGGGTAGAGTCGGGAGATGACGTCAGCCACGCTGGCGGGTAAGGCCCGGGTGCACCGATGCAGCCTTCCCTACCTCTGCTTTGTTGTCCAGTCAGTGGGAGAGTGGCTGGGTGAGCCACAGCTGTGCTGGGCCTGACTAGGAGCCAGGTCTGATGTCCAGTGTCTGAGCAGTGGTTTGGGATAAGAGTGCTTACTGTGCAGACTAGGGAACTGAATTCCATCACCAGAACCCACCCACAGAAGGAGAGTGCTGACCCCAGAAGTTGTCCTCTCTGCCTTACACAGGCTCATGCAGGAGGGATGACTCACACACTGAAAATAATATATATATATATATATATATATATATATTTATATATTTTAAAGACCTGTCTGCTCAAGTGGAACCTTTGGTTTTCTTCTCTGAAATTGATTTTCAGCTATACCTTCTCTATAAAAATGGAGGAAAGATGCTCCTTAGTTCTCTTGCTGACAGGATTTTTTCTTTTTCTTCTTTGCCCAGCTCTACAGTAAACATTAAAAACTCCTCAGAAGCCTAATATGCCTCCTGTACACAGTTTCACCTGGCAGACGAGCAGGAAATCATCTGATAGGGTGGTAGATAATATTTGAATGTGGGTGTGCTGTTCTTTATGAATTAGGTATGTTATTGAAAAGCTTGTGAGTATACCACTATATACATCAAATGGTTGTAAATGTATTACTAGCTGGCTTATTCTCCCAAGCTACAAGCAAGTATTTTATTGGGCTAAGTAGAATGTGAAAAAGTCACTCTATAGAGAAAATGGCCCATTTTTAAGTATTCACACTAGTTTACTGAGCAGAGGTGTTAATGCATTTTCTTCATTTTTTTTTTTTTTTGGTTTTTTGAGGCAGGGTTTCTCTGTGGCTTTGGAGGCTGTCCTGGAACTAGCTCTTGTAGACCAGGCTGCTCTTGAACTCACAGAGATCTACCTGGCTCTGCCTCCTGAGTACTGGGATTAAAGGCGTGCGCCACCAACGCCCAGCGCATTTTCTTCATTATACTTAGTTTTGACATTACTAAAAAAATGTTTCTGCATATAATAAGTGTACTATACACCCACTGTGGGTCAGAGGCACCAAGTGATAGATTGTTGTACCTCCAGCCAAATAGATCTAGAGTGAATCCTGTTTTGACGTCTATTTAACAAATGTGAGCCTTTCCCTTTAGACAGTCTGTTAAGGGTAAAACTTTCTCTTCTCCGTGCGAGCTCTCACAACTTTATTCTATTTATGTGTACATGTGCATTCCTGCTGAGGCTCAAAGAAGGCATTGGATCCCCTGCAGCTGGAGTTACAGGTGGTTTTGAGCTGCCCAGTGTGCCAGGAACGAAACTAATGTAATGTCCTCTGTAAGAATAGCATCTCACCAGCCCCTTACAGCTTTTGGACTGGACCTCAGAGTCTGTTAGAGTTGCTTAATAGTTTTGAGCAACAATGATCTTGAGTCCCATTGTTCTTCTATCAGAACATAGAATGGCAGATTTTATATCTTATAAACCAGGGGGATTCTAGGAATACCTCTTTTATCCAAGAGGTGTTGGTCATACTTTATTGAGCCGGTATGTGGCTCATACCTTGCTATGGAGGCCGGGCTGGTCCAAAACTCACTTTATAACCTACACTGGCATCAAATTTGCAGTCTGTCTGTCTCATATTCCTGAGTGTTGAGATTACAGATGTGCTCCATTATGCTTGGCTCCAAAAAGGGATTTTCTTGAAAATGTTTATTTCTGTTTTATATGGCTGTCTTGCCTGCATGCATATCTGTATACCATGTGTGTGCCCTGGTTCCCAGGGAGGCCGGAAGAGGACATTGGACCCCTGGAACTGGAGTTGTGGATGGTTGTGAGCTGCCATGTGGGTGCTGGGAATCCAACTGGAGTCTTAACGGAAGAGCGGCTAATGATCTTAACTGCTGAGCCATCTCTGCAGTTCCCCTCCCCTGTTTTAAGATATCTGTTAATTGGATTATTCTGGGAAATGTAATTTGAACGTTATCTTTGGCTTCATGGCAAAGATCCAACATAAGCCAGGTGCTGTGGTTTGGTTGTGGCTTAAATGTGTTGCCTAGAGAGTCATGTGCCAGGAGTTTGGCCCCAGAGGAGTGATGTTAAGATCGGGCTCTCTGGCGTTCTGTGATCTCTTCTTGCTTTCTTCTTACAGATGTGATGCCGTCTGTGGTGAGGTGGGACAGCTGACGGAGCTGCCATCAGGTATTGTGTATGTAGACTTGCATATTTCATCATAGCAATGGATTGGCTTTAGTCATGATTGGACCTTGGGTCTTGATATCTTCAGGGTGCCTTCTTTGAGCACTGCTTGCTGTTGTGTTGGTTTTGGGTTGGTAAAAATGGCCACCCTCAATGATAGACTTAGATCTCCCTCACAGATTCACATTCTCCCTCCCTCCCTCTCCCTCACTTCCCAGTGATCTGGGTACAAACTCTTTGATAGCATCAATTAGAAATTCACAGAGCAGACTCTAACTTGCATGGCTTGGGTCATATAACTCTCCTCTGAAACAATCTTGGTGAGGAGTGCAGTGAGTACCAAGTTGGTCTGGCCGCCCTACATCATCTTTCAGAGCCTTGGGCAGTTATGGCCTTTACTACATGAATCAAGAATGGGTCAGAAGGGACTGGGGTGTGGCTCACACAAAACCCTGGCTTTGATTCCTAACACTGTGTGCCTTAATCCCAGCATTCTAGGCGTAGAGGCAGAAGCATCAGAAGTTTGGGGTCATTCTTGGCTTACAGAGGTAACTTAGCAGGTTAAGAGTGCTTTCCATTCAAGCATAGGAACCTGAGTTCAAATCCCCAGAACCGTGACCTGAGTTCAAACCACAATGAACCCTCATAAAAGGCCAGCTGCAGTCATGGTGAAATAGCATTGTGGTGAATGGAGACACGCCTACTGAGACTTGGTGAGACCCTAGCTCCAAATTCAGTGAGCAACCCTGCCACAAAAGGAAGCAGACAGAGATCAGCAGATCGGGACATCCTTCTTTGGCCCCCAGAGCGCGCTCACACAGGCACATTGACCACACATACATATGTGCTTATAACACACACACACACACAGGCAGTAATTTTTGGTTGCATGGTGAGTTTTAACCCAGCTACCTTAGAATGTGTCTCAAGAGAAAAAAAGAATGGGGTAGAAAGCAGTTTCCTCCAAAGACTAGTAGACCTACAGACAAACCAGAAGAGCCCTTTAGAGATACTATTTAAATGCTGCTTTGTGAGGAAGTATCTGGGAGGACTCTGGTCAACTGACCTTCAACTAGGCTTCCTGGAAGCCTGGTGGCTGGGTTCCAGGAATAAGCAAAAAAGAAGAGACAAGAGCTACCTTTTTTTGTTGTTTTTCAAGACATGGTTTCTCTGTGTAGCCCTGGATATTCTGGGACTCACTCTGTAGACCAGACCGGCCTCGAACTCACAGAGATCTGCCTGCCTCTGCTTCCCAAGTGCTGGTGTTAAAGGCGAGCACTACCACTGTCCAGCTAAGAGCCTTTTTATGGCCTACCTACAAGTTACATAGTGTAACTTTTCCTGTAGAGACTTACCTGGCTTCAAGGGGAGGTTGGGAAGGTGTTAAATGACATTGTAAGAAAGCATGTGGGGTTGGAGATCTTCGTGTTGCCAGCCATTGTGACTCAGAATCCTCTACGTGCATTGCCTTGCTTCAGGTAACTAGTTTTATAAAGAACATGAAATATAAATTAAGCTATGTATGAATGCTATTCTCGGGTGACCCTGTTTTGTCTAATGATTTTGGTTTGCCCCATTTTCAGCTCGCAGGCATTCTTCCTTCCTCGTAGCCTCTTGGGTTCTTGCTCACTGGTGATGATCTTAGCCCTCTTGATGCATTATTTATTAAAGGGACAAATCAGGACCACCCTTTTGTGACAGAGAGGCCATTCCTCCTGGCTCACCCAGAGCAATGGGATGGGGTGGATTTGTTTGCAAGTTCAGCATGGAGGTGCTCTCCCTGGAACCTTGGCCTTAAGCAGGCGTCAGCACTGAGACACACACACTGGAAGCCATTGCTTACAGGGAGGCTCCTCAAGGCGATGTCCCCTTGAGCTATAGTGACTGGCTTTGCTTCAGTCCCTCAGAGCTCCTGTCAGTGTCATTGTTCTTCATTTCCAAGCCTGAGTGTTCTGCCTCCTAATGAAAGACCCCCAAGTGAGGAGACCCTCACTCAAGTCTCAGGATAAGCCGACGCCCCAATAATTCAAGAGAGACCGTTCTTGATGCAAGCACACGAGGTTTATTCGGGGAACCAATGCACTGGGGCGGAACTCATGACCCTCCAAGGGGCAGAGGAGTTCGACCCCTAGTAGCTGCAGTCGGGGGTTTTTAAAAGGGAGAAACCGAATGGGGGAGTTAGGCAAACATCATAAAGGATGTAAAGTTAAATGATAGCTTATGTCTTAACAGGAAGGTTATCTCAAGCAAGCATTCTTTGGGCATTGTACAGTTAAACATTGAGCAGGAATGTGGTGAGCTAGTTCCTGCATCAGGGAGGGTTATTTTTTAAGTTTATCTTGAGGTCTCCGGTTTCTCAGGAGAGGGCAGAAGGGCAAGTCACTCTGTGATGGACTAGTCACTAGGGGTCTAAAAATATTGCGTTGGGATCTCTCATTCCCCACTTCTTTTAGTAAGCAGTTCTAATCATAGAACTGCAGAACTAAATTTCTGACTCTATATAATTTGCATTGCCCTGTTCTAATCTCTGATACTGTTGGCGTAGTATAAGAATCTGTACAGCACTAACTCTTTGTCTAATAAAAGCAATTAATCTATTAATTATGCAAGGTCCTATAGTCAGCAGAAGAAGCAAGATCAGTAAGGGACCCATCAGGGCAGAAAGCAAGTCGTCATCCATGGCGATCTGCTGAACCAGCCCTCGTACCAGTTTTGTGTGGCCTCCCGGTCTCGGTTGCGTTTTTCTAATCTTTCTCTGAGCCTGCTCATAGAATCTCTGATGGCTCCAGAGTGATCAATGTAAAAACAACATTCTTCTTTAAGGGCAGCATATAGTCCCCCTTCCTTAAGGAACAGCAGGTCTAAGCCTCTTCTATTCTGCAGAACTACCTCAGACAGGGAGGTGAGAGATTCTTCTAACTTAGTGACAGAGCTTTCTAGCGCTTTGATATCCTGTGTCATGGCAGCCTACAGAGTATTCAGGCCATGTTGGAGGTCTTGGGGTCCCTTAACAAGTGCTGTAGTCCCGGTACCAATTCCTGCTGCTATGCTCAAACCCAACATTACTGCTAAGGTGAGGGATACTGGTTCCCTCTTGTCCCTTCTTTGCTTATAATCACAGGCATCTATGGCTGTCTCCTCGGGGTGGTAGTAAACACGAGGAAATAGCTGAACCATAACACAAAAGTCTCTTGACTGGTTAAACACAACAGTAGAGACACAGGGGGTAAGCCCAGTACTACATGCCCACCAGCTATTTGAATCAGGTTAAAGAGTCTATCACCAGTGATAGGGGGCAGAGTGAAGGTTTCTGCAGTGGGAATTATCGTCCCATGGGGTTGGGGCTCAGATACGAAGGAAATCAGGACTAATGGGGGAGGAGGCGGTGGTAACACCCGTTGGGGAGGTCCTTGCTCTGGGAGTACCTTATCAGGTCCTATGGGAACCTCTGGAGGGCTCTCAATCTTGAGCCTAATCTGGAACGAAAACCGTTATCCTATCCTGACATATAGAACCTCAGACCCCAGGTTCGCCCCTTGGGCCAGGCAGTAAACTGCTTCCCTGGAGTTGTGAAGGTGACACTGAGAGAGTCTAGGCCCTTATTCTTTCTAGCGACAGTAATCAAGTCCCATAGGGATGTGGGATGCCAGTGGGCATCTCCAGTAGTTTCACATCCCCATTGTTTGCAATAGAATGTCCCAGTCCTCCACATCTATGTGTCTCTGACCTAGATCTGCCGTCTCTAGGGCAAACATAAAAGGAGGTCTGCTGAAGTCTTCTCTGCATAGGTCTATCTTTACATCCCGGGGAATCAGCAAGGTGCTGGCCCTGTGAAACTGTCCTTGATGAAGGGACCGTTTAGTAAATGCACCTCTTGTAAGGGTATTTCTTCATGAGTCATCCCAGGAATGTCCCATAAGTCTAACCCTGCCATCAGGGCACAGATTTCAGGAAACAAAGAGGGCCGCCAAGTACCAGGGGGAGCGACTTTAAAGGTGGACCAGGCTACATCCGCAGTTTGTGATAGTACCTGCCAGGTTAATGCTTGAGGAGCACAGGGATTTCTATTCTTCTGTGGTGAGCAGGCGACATAAACGCAGCGTAAGAGGATCACCAGTCCGTTCCAGCTTCCAGGAGTCATCTTGGGTTGCAGGAGGGGCCGCTTTGACGTGGGATGCGTGGATCCAAGCTGGGATGCCGTCAACCTTGATGGTGGTGGGACTTGTCAGGAGCACCAGGTAGGGTCCCTTCCATCTGGGTTCGAGGTTGCCTGATTGATGATGCCAGACCAGGACAGAGTCTCCCACTTGGAACTTACGTGGTACAGCTGTGGTTCCCCGTTCATATGCTCCTTTTAGCTGTTCCCAGGTGTCCCTTCTGACCAGTTCAAGAGCCTTTGAACGAGTTAACAGGGGTTGGGAGAAAGAGGCATCAAGATCAAGTACCCCTCCTGCTTCTAGCAAGGGGGGTGGTCCCCCATGGAGGAGCTCGAATGGTGTGAGTTTAAATTTCCCTGGGGTCCTTCAGAACAAGGCGAAGGGCAGGAGGGCTGTCCAGTCCTTTCCACCGGTCTCTAAGGTTAATTTAGTCAAGGTCTCTTTTAATGTTTTATTTATTCTTTCTACCTGTCCTGAGCTCTGGGGTCTATAAGCACAATGTAATTTTCAATTAATCCCCAGTTGGGTGGCCTGTCCCTGGCTTACCTGGGCAATGAAGGCAGGGCCATTGTCTGATCCAATTACCTTAGGGATGCCGAATCGTGGGAAAATCTCCTCCAGTATCTTCTTTGCTACTACATTGGCTATTTCCCTCTTTGTAGGGAAAGCCTCTACCCATCCTGAGAAGGTATCTATGAAAACTAATAAATAATTGTTACCATATTTTGCTGGTTTAACTTCTGTGAAATCAACCTACCAGTATGTTCCTGGCCTGTCTCCCGGGAGGCATTTGCCGGGGGCACCTAGGTGATGTCCAGCATTGGTTAAGGCCACCTTGGAATTCTGAACTACTTTGGGAGTTAGGCAAACATCATAACGGATGAGAAGTTAAATGATAGCTTATGTCTTAACAGGAAGGTTATCTCAAGCAAGCATTCTTTGGGCATTGTACAGTTAAACATTGAGCAGGAATGTGGTGAGCTAGTTCCTGGATCAGGGAGGGTTATTTTTTAAGTTTATCTTGAGGTCTCTGGTTTCTCAGGAGAGGGCAGAAGGGCAAGTCATTCTGTGATGGACTAGTCACTAGGGATCTAAAAATGTTGAGTTGGGATCTCTCACTATGTCTCTGAGCCCTCTCAGCGCTTTCTAATAGTTTTCTCGTGTCAGGGGTAGGCTCTGTCTGCTGAACATACGCCTTAACTGATAGGCAGTTGTGACTGCAGGCAACTATATTTTAAAACCTGAATTAGTTGATCAGATTAGTTTCAGTGTGGTTCAGACTGTCATCAAAAAGCAAGGGCTGGACAGATGCTCAGTGGTTAATATCATTTTTTTGTTTGGTTGGCTTTGTTTTACCAGACAGGTTTTTCTGTAACAGCTCTGGCTGTCCTGAACCTCCCTCTGTAGACCAGGCTAACCTCGAACTCATAGAGATCCGCCTGCCTCTGCCTTCCATGTGCTGGGATTGAAGGTGTGTGCCACCAGTGCCCGGCAGCATTTTCTTCTTGTTGAGGACCAGTTTTAGTTTTCCAGCATCCCATAATGACTTGAATGATCCATAACTCCAGTTCCATCGGATTTAGTGCCCCTTTCTGGTTTTCAAGGGTACCAGGCATATATACAGACAAAACACTCATACACACAAAATAAAAATAAATCTTTTTTAAAACGGGGGAGAGGCAGTAACTCATAATAGCCCAAGATTATTTTGTCTTTTGATTTGCAACATTCCATTTCTTCACACCCATCCCTTTCCTTGATGGTCCAGTCAGTCTAGACAGCCCTCAATGCAGATGTGGCTTCTCTTTCTTCTTTTTTTTCCTCTGTATTTCTCTGTTTTGGAGACTGTCCTGGAACTCACTCTGTAGACCAGGCTGGCCTCGAACTCACAGAGATCCGCCTGCCTCTGCCTCCCGAGTGCTGGGATTAAAGGCGAGCACCACCAATGCCTGGCTCAGATGTTCCTTCTTAAAGAACTTGGTGTTGCTGTTATTATGGAAGGGTATTGAGACTCAAAGAGACCCCTGCTGCTTGAAGAAATTAGGAAACAGAATGATAAAAGGAAATGGGTTTATTTATAGTTGGGTCAAACCAGGGAAAGAATCCTACCATCAGCTTTCCTGAACAGTGCTGTATACAAGTTCACAGGAGATGACACCAAGGCAGATGACGCACTCACGTTAATGTAAGTCGTCAGCACTGCAGGAGTCTTCCCGGAAGACAGGTACTCCTCAGGCTGGTACCACAGCGTGGCACTTCCTTTTTGCCGTCATGGTGCTCTGCTCTTATTTTTAGCCAAATGGAGGCACACAGGGATTTATTCTTATTTTATGTGTATGGGTATTTTGTCTGCATGTGTGTTTATGTGTGCATGCCTGATGTCCTCAGGGGTAGAAAAGGGCATTAGTTCTCCTGAAACTGGAATTACATGTTGGTTCTGGGAATTGAACCTGGGTCTTCTAGAAGGGTAGCAAGTGCTCGTAACCACATAGTTATTTCTTTAGCAGCAACACATGCGTGTGTGTGTGTGTGTGTGTGTGTGTGTGTGTGTGTGTGTGTCTCACACACCAACATGTGTATGCAACACACACATATACATTTTGACAGGGTCTCACTGTGTATTTCTGGCTGGTCTGAAATTCAACTATGTAGATAAAGCTGGCCTTGAATGTAGAGAAATCTGCCTGCCTCTGTCTCCCAGGTGCTAGGATTAAAGGAATATGCCACTGGGCCTGGCCCCTAAGTATGTATTTAATTAACATATAATCATATCACCTCCACCCTGTGCTGGGGTCCGGTCTGTATCAGCCCCACACTGCAGAGACATCTGTTCTGTATCCCCACACTGCAGAGACATCTGTTCTGTGTCCCCACACTGCAGAGACATCTGTTCTGTATCCCCACACTGCAGAGACGTCTGTTCTGTATCAGCCCCACACTGCAGAGACGTCTGTTCTGTATCAGTCCCACACTGCAGAGACGTCTGTTCTGTATCAGCCCCACACTGCAGAGACATCTGTTCTGTATCAGCCCCACACTGCAGAGATATCTGTTCTGTATCCCCACACTGCAGAGACATCTGTTCTGTATCAGCCCCACACTGCAGAGACATCTGTTCTGTATCAGCCCCACACTGCAGAGACATCTGCTCTGTATCAGCCCCACACTGCAGAGACATCTGTTCTGGATTGATGTCTTTGGGGCTGCGATTGGAACCAGCAGAACAGCCCCAGGTCCGATCCTGAGTGGGGAAGTGTGGATGCTGAGGTAGGGGATGGGGCAGAGGAATGCAGGACAATGAAAATGACCCAAGATAAGGGTTTAAATAATAGTGGCTCTTAGGCCAAGCCCACATGCAAGTCTGTGTGTGTGTATGTGTATGTATGTATGTATGTATTTATATGTATGTGTGTATGTATATGTGTATGTATGTCTGTATGTGTGTATGTATATGTATGTGTGCATGTATATGTATGAGTGTGTGTGTACCCCATGTGTGCAAGTGCATGCACATAGAAGTCAAAAGAAGATGGCATGTTTCATTCTGTCTCACTGCTCTGAGATAGGCCTCTCGCTGAACTGGAATCTTGCTAGGCTGACTGACAAGCGAACTCTTGGAATCCTCCTGTCTCTGCTCCTTGATGCTGGGGTTACAGACAGGAGCAGCCATGCCTTTTTACGTAGTGCTAACTATTCAAACCCAGGTTCTCATGCTTACACAAGCGCTACTATCTACTTAGTCACCACTCAGTTTCTGGAGTCTGAAAAAAATTTACATGTTTTGTACGTGCATGTGTATATGATGTTTGGGCCACAGCACATATGTAGAGGTCAGAAGACAATGTTCAGGAGTCACTTTTCTCCTACTACATGGGTTCTGGGACTCAACTTAGGTTGTTAGGCTTAACGTCCACATCCTGCACGTCGCCCACTGAGCCGCCTCACCAGCCTCTGGAGTCCATTCTTGAGTTTAATCTCGAGTGGGTGATGTTCTAGAATCTGAAAAATAACAGTATTTAGTTGTTGTTTTGTTAAGTTGTATTTGTGTAGGATGTTGCTAGAAAATAGTATAAAGATTTACAGGGTAAATACAAACGTCAGCCAGTAAGAGTACGTATTTTAAATGTATTTTAATTTTTAAATTATATTTTACTTATTGTCTCTCTGTCTCTCTCTCGTGTGTGTGTGTGTGTGTGTGTGTGCGCGCGCGCGCGCGTGCGCGCATGCGTGTCTTACATAGGTGCTGTGATAAAACTATGACCAAAACCAGCTTGGGGAGGAAAGGGTTGCCTCAGCTTGCACATGACACTCATCAGCAAGGGAGGCAGGGAGGGCGGGGACAGAAGCAGAGGAACACTGCTTACTAGGTCACCCTCTATGGCTTGTTTAGCTTGGTTTCTTACACAACTCAAGATCATCCGTGTGGGGGTGGCACACCCACAGTGGGCTGGACCCTCCTACACCAGTCATTAATAAAGCTAGGGCAGAAAGATTGTTAGAGGAACAGGAAGCCTGCAGTGAGATTGTGCCTCCTAGAAATGTCAGAAACTATGCTCATAAATCCTCAATAGCATGACTGCCTCAGCACAAACTGGACAAAGACAACAACAGTAAACATGTTAAGGTGTGGGGAAAGCCCAAAAGGCCTCAGCCTTGCACAAAGAACCGCAGGCAGCTAAGGAAGGCGGGGAGTGGAGAAAAACAGTCTTCCCTGGGGAAGAGCACATTAAATTGGTTATCCAGTACCAAGTGGTCAACTCTGAAAACTTACACACAAGTAACATTATACAGACTGAGCACATTGTGTGTATGTATATACACATACATATGTGTATGTAACAACAAAATAGACAGAGGGGAGAGAGAGAGAGATTGGGAGGAGGGATATATAGAAGGGTTTGGAGGGGCAAATGATCTAATTATATTGTAATCTCAAAAAGGAAATAAGTCCTAAAAATGTCCCACAGATATGCTCATGGCCCAATTAGTTGGAGGCAAGCCCTCATGGGGTTCCTTCTTCAGGTGACTCTTTTGGGTCAGGTTGACAACCTAACCAGCACGGGTGTGCTGCATAAGGACCCTGCTCAGTCACCTGCCCAGAGCACCCCAGTACCCAGGTTCCTTTGCCTGTCTGTGATGTGACTTTTACTGTCCCGGCACCTGTCCTGCTGCTGGGGACTGAGACAGAGGCCAGAATCTTGGGCTTGAAGTGTTCTACCATTGACTAAATCCCCAACTCATCTACACTTTAGTTAGGTCATGTAATGTTTTAAAGAGGCTTGGGGGTGGGAGGACAGCATTTGAGGCCTTCCTAGGCTATGAAAGGAGGTCATTTCTTTCTTTTCCTTTTTTTTTTTTTAACTCTCTATAGCCCTGTCTCTTGCTTGACTCTGTCTCCCAAGTGCTAGGATTAAAGGCATGCTACCAAACTCGGCCCTGTTTCTTGAAAAAAAAAAAAGATGCATTGGTGTCCCATCTTCCACTATTATTTAAACCCTTGTCTTGGGTCATTTTCATTGTCCTGCATTCCTCTGCCCCATCCCTACCTCATCCCCTATATCAGCTTGTACGAAATCCTCAATAAACGGAGCTTGATCCGCCATGCTGTCTCGGTCCCGTTCCTGTGTCTCCTGCCCCCCCCCTGTGTGTCTCCCCCAGGACAGCCCACATTGACTTGTCCCCACAGATCGGGGCACCCCAGTAGCTGCTTGTTAAAGGTCTGTGGGTCATGGGAAATTCTCTGCAAAAGAGTGCTCTTGGAGTCGGGTTCTGTTTGTGTGTTCTCTGGAGAAAGTAGTGTTGGCATTAGACCTTGACATTTCAGTCAATGACCTTTTATAGAAAAGTGGTGGTTGCTTCTCAAGGCTCTGCTGACATTTTAAAAAGTACTGCTGCTTGTTGAAAAGGGCACTGAATAGAATCCTTTTGTTGTAAGTCTAGGTTGAAGCTGGGTGTAGTGGTACACACCTTTGATCCTGGTACTCAGGAGGCAGAGGCAGGCAGATCTCTGTGAGTTCGAGGCCAGCCTGGTCTAAAGAAGGAGTTCCAGGATCAGCCAAGGCTGTTACATAGCGAAACCCTGTCTCAAAACAGACAAACAAACAAAAAGTCTGGGTTGAAATACAGTTTAGTGAGAAGTAGTAATTACTTCCTGTGAGGTTGCTGAAGATTAGGAGCAATGCAATAAAAAATTCTTAGGGCTTGGGAGATGGCTCCGTAGGGACAGTGCTTGCTGTGCAGATGGGAATGCCAGCTGGTCTGGCACATGACTGGGGAACAGGAGACCCCACAATAGAAGGTGAGGGCCGGCACTTAAGTGCTCTCTGACCTCCACATGTCTGCTGTGGTGTGTGCCTCATGTATGGGAACACAGACGTAGATGTAAGACGAGTAGTACTCAGCACAGCGACTGGCAGGCGTGCAAGCACAGGACTTGAGAGTAGCTGCTACCACCGTCATTCCGGAGACTCAGGCCACTGGCTCTGTTCTTTCTCTACAGTAGGAGAGAATGCTACCTGCTTTTCTCTACAGGGTCCAGGTTTGCCCCTTCTCTCAGTTCCTAATGCAACTCTGAGCTTGTGTCAGTTTACTCTGGAAGGCAGGGGCACCCTACCTGTGCTCAGTAATTACACTGTTTTGTTTTGTTTTTGATCTTTTAAGAAAGTCACACTATGTAGTCTTGGCTAGCTAGGCTGGCCTGGAACTCATAGAGATCTGCCTGCCTTTGTCTCTTAAATGCTGGGATTAAAGGGCGTGTCACCACATCTGGTCCAGTAATTACATTTTATTTAATCTTCCCAAAGTCCTAAGCCCTTGGCCCTTGGTGAATTAGGTGCAGGTCTGGGGTAATGTGTGCTAGCTACCACTCTTGGTGGACTACGGAACTCTTGATAGTGTGACAGATAAGGGAAATGTGTAGTTGGGTATAGTTTGCTATCAAAGGTTTAAAAAAAAAGGAAGGGGTAGGAGATGGCTCAGCAGGTAAGAGCGATTGCTGCACAAGCATAAAGGCTTGAGTTAGATCGTTTGCTCCATCACTTCGGTAACAAATCTGGGTGTTGTTATTCATGTCTGTAATCCTAGCACTGAGGTGGGTGACTTACTGGCCATCAGTCTAGACCTAGCTTCAGTTTCAAAGGAATGCTGGGGATGGTGATAGAGCAGAACACCCCACATCCTCTGCACCCCACATACTTGCTCCCCCACAGAGAGTCATAAGGTAAAAGACTATGACTAATACAAGGCCATCTGCTGTTGTCGTAGTTACTTTCCAGGCAGATCAAAGTGGCACAGTGCCCTCAGTTGCTACAATAGACGGAGTTGCCATGATCTGGTCAACTCTGGCTTGTTTAGGAAGACCAGGGTTCAGAGCAAGTGAACTTCTTGGCTAATTGCCCTCACCTGCAACTCTTATGAAATGCTGTGTGGCGTTTTTGAATTTGGAGATTGCAGTGATCCTAGGGTGCAATACCTTTGGAATGTCAAGGATCAACTATGCTTTTAAATTTGTGTGTGTGTGTGTGTGTGTGTGTGTGTGTGTGTGTGTGTGTGTGTGTGTGTGTGTGTGTGTGTGTTAGGTTGTCAGAAGAGGGTGTCAGATTCCCTGGAGCTGTAGTTGTGAGCCAGTCCATGTGGGTATTGGAAACAAGTCTGGGACGTCTAGAAGAACAGCAAATACTATCACTACTGAGCCAGTCCATGTGGGTATTGGAAACAAGTCTGGGACGTCCAGAAGAGGAGCAAATACTATCACTACTGAGCCAGCTCTCCAGCCCCACTCACACCTTGTTCTCTGTGACGTAGCTTCACACTGGTGAAACCACGCAATTCTCAACACTCAGCCACATCAGAGCTAACCCATCCATTTCCCCTGGGAAGAATGCTTCAACTTAACTGCTCCAGACTAGCTTGCCATGTTGAGGTTCTCTGTTTTCAGACTTCTCTCTGTCTGCTACTGTGTTTGTTACCCAAATTTGTAGGGTCAGAGCCTGGAGCCTGTCACTTGGCCCCAATAAGTCAATTAAAGAGAATAGTAACAGTGATAAGCAGAGAAAGGAGATGTATTCACCATGACCACATTGGGAAGAGGAACAAGAGGTCCAGTGACCTTCCAAGTCTCTGTTAGGGATATTGACACAAGGTTAGAGACAGGAAACGTAAGAGGTACCCTTTGGGTTCCTGCTTCTCTGAAAATGCCTTAGTTTACCATCATAATTGAGTAATAGTCTAGTAGTAGACTTCTCTTGGAAATAATTTTACTGGAGAATTTTGAAAGAATTATCTGTTAGCCTTCAATATTGGTTTGAAAGAGTCTGATGCTAGTTTTATTTGTAAACCTGTCACTACTGTCCCACCGCTGACTCCCAAGCTCACCCTTTTTTAATTTTAGATTTTATAACATTGTTTGATTATTTAGGTGTTTGTGCATGTTTGTTCAGAGGACAACTTGAAGTTACCATTTCTCTCCTGGGATGGAATTCGGGTCCTCGGGCTTGGCAAGCAAGTGCCTCACCTCCTGAGCCACCTTGACTGCTCCTAGGTTACTCTGTCTGTGAGTTTCTGAAATCTCCGTTGTTCAGTTCTGTTTCTCCTTTGTTTTACTGTGAGATTTGCTGTTATTTTCTTCCAGTTCTATTAACTTACATTTTTTGCCATTTTTAATTTCCAGTACTTTTCTCCATCCCTTTCCTTTCCTTTCTCCCTTTCCATTCTCTTTCCTTTCCCTCACCCACAGGCTGGCTTTGAACTCTCAATATTCCTGCTTCATCTGCCTGGTGCTGAGATTACAACCATGTGCTGTCATGGGCATATGCTTTCTTGTTCCCAGAAGAAGCTGGAGAACCAGTTGCTTTTCTAGAGGATCCAAATTTAATTCTCAGTACCATATGAAAGCTCACAACCATCTGGACTCCAGGTCCCGGCATCCACTGCCTTCTTCTGGCCTCCACCACACCAGGTGGACACATGTTTACACAGACATACGTGCAGCAAAACACCATTCACATAAGATGACAGTAAAATCATTCTTAAAAACAGCTGGAAGTGCTGGCACCGCCTTCAATCCCAGCACTTGAGGGCAGAGGCAGTTGAATCTCTTGAGTTCGAGGCCACCCTGGCCCACAGAGCAAGTTTCAGGATGGCAAGGACTACACAGGAAACCCATCTCAAAAATCAAGGAAGGGAGTGAGGGAAGGTGGAGAAGGAAGAAGGAAGGAAGGAAGGAAGGAAGGAAGGAAGGAAGGAAGGAAGGAAAAGAAAGACTTATCTCACAGATGTGCTATCTCATCTGAGGATATTTTTTGACCTCAGCTTTTCCTCCTGTATCATTTCTGTCTGGTCCAAATGTCCCCTGTGCGCCTCTGTTTGTTACTTTGCCGTCACCATCATTGTTATTCCATGCGTGTATTGCCTGCGTGTATGTCTGTGGACCACGTGTGCGCCTGGTGTCAGTGGAGCCCAGGAAAGGGGAGCAGATGCCTGGAGCTGGAGCTGGAGACAGCTGTGAGCTGCCCCGTGGGAAGCAAGCCTGTGCCCTCGGAAGAGCCACCTGCGCTGAGCCAGTGAGCCGTCTTCCAGCCCTGGGGCGTTGTGTTTTGTTATAGAGTTTTGTTCTCAGCGTGTGCTGTTCCTTCACGTTCATGGTAGGAGCGAGCCTGAACTGATGGGAAGCTGGGTGGATGGTTGGCCTTGAAGATGGATTTATTTTGCTGGGACCCAAGTATTTTGTTGGGCTTTCCAGCTGTCTTACACATAGAAAACTCCAGTCTTCTTGGGAAGTGAGAGCCTGGCTGCTGTCTCCTAGTCTCTGAGCAGGTGGGGGGAAGGGGTAGAGGTGATGGGGGAAGGAGGGGAGGGACTGTGTAGACTCTAAGTCACCACTCAGCAGGTGCTCCCCAGCCTGTGAGAGCTCCACCGCAGCAAGCCTTGAACACTCCCCCCTTCTGTGTCAGATAGGAGCCCTGTGCCTGTCCCTGTTGCAGCTTCTTCCGCAGCGGTACCCAGAGTTGTCTATTGTTAGTCTGTTCTACCTGAGGGTCAGTTTGGCTTAGTGGTTCTGGCATGCTGGGTGTTCTGTGTAAATGTCCTGTCCTGGGCTTAGTGATTAATCCATTCAAATCCCCATCCTAGAAGCCAGAAGTTTCTCCCCTGAGAGGAAAAATAGCCTGTTCTGTTTCAGCCGTAGAGCTGTGGGGTGCAGAAGGGCCTCATTGGCGTTATTGACTTGTCTGTTAACCACTAGGGAGGGCAGGTCCCATGCTCTAGTCAGAGGTAGAGACTTGGAATAGATGGGCAGCTATAAAGTTCCTAGGAAATACAGTAATTTCTTAAATGAAAATAAGCAAGTTCTTATTTCAAATAATTCCAGGAACTATGCAGATGTTTACTGGGTCCAGACTCAGCATTAAAAGGCACCGAGGCCCTCTTTTTCTCTTTTTTAACTTGTTTTATTGAAAACTTTCAAATATACGTAAATATATACTTTTAAAGCAAATTTACTTTTTTTTTTTTTTTTTTTTTGGTTTTTCGAGACAGGGTTTCTCTGTATTGTTTTGGAGGCTGTCCTGGAACTCGCTCTGTAGACCAGGCTGGCCTCGAACTCACAGAGATCCGCCTGCCTCTGCCTCCCGAGTGCTGGGATTAAAGGCGTGCGCCACCACCGCCTGGCCAAATTTACTGTTTTTGCTATAAATATTTCCATCTCTTATAAAAAGAAATCATAATACATGCTACCTAAAGGAAAAATTACTTAGTTTTATTGAGCACAGGTGATATCGAAAGCAGTCATTTTGCTTACTTTTGTAGGTGCCCTATAGTTCTTGAAAACATTTGGGTCACGCTTATTTGTGGCCTTTTCTATTATATTTTTAAGGTGCAATCTATTAGACTTTCTTGCATTATAATGTATTACTGTAAAACATCTTATTGATCATGTAATCCATGCTCTTGTAGCAAATTTGTGAGTTATGCTACTGTGACCGCAATTGAACTTGGTAACATTTCTGTCACGCACACTGGGATCCAAATCCCAGCCCCGGGATGGTATGAGTCACCAATATTTACTTTTGCTGTGCCCTGATTGTTTTCTTTTTTCTTTTTAGTTTATTTATCTTTATTTCATGGGTATGAGTCTCTGCCTCCACATATGTCTGTATACCACATATTCAACATCCAGAGGCCAGAAGAGGCCATCAAATGCCCCTGGAACTAGAGTTACAGCGGTTGGGAGCCACCATGTGGGTTCTGGGAATTGAACTGGGGTCCTCTGGAAGAGCAACCAGTGCTCTTAACTGCTGAGCCACCTCCAGTATTGGCTTTATACTTTAAAACAACCCCTCCAAAAGCCAGTGTCTTTGGTGCTGGTGTCAGGCTGCAGTAAGGAGTGGGGGGGGTTGGTGTGTGCTTTCGGCTCCCGTCTCTCTCCAGCTAGAATTCTCCTCTGCTGTTGATCCGCCCTTTTCACCAGGGTTGCTAAGGCTGCTGGAATTTCTTGGCATTCGCTGCTCTAGGAAATGCTGAATGCTAACAAATTTCAGTGGGGCAAATGGGCCTCCTCCCACATACTGGGCTTTTCTAAGGAGACCCTCGGTGTCCTAAGCAAGTTACAGTGAAGGGCTAAGGGATCTCATGTGTGTACATGGATTTGGAGCTTTAGCCGAACGGACTTTTGCTCCTTAGTTGACAAGTTCTTGCATGTAGGCCCTTTATTAAACATCCTAAGCTATAAGAGCTCCAAATGTGGCCAGCTATGCTTTAAAGTTGTTGTAAATCACCTTTTGGTTTATTTTGTGTGCATGCCGTGTGCATGTCACCCGATTAGGAGTTGGTTCTCTGGGACCCAAGGGTGGAACTCAGTTTGTCAGTAAGTACACTGACTGCTGAGCCATCCTGCCAGCCCCACGCCTCTCTTCCTGCATTCTGTGTGCTGAGGCTGAGGTAAGCTTTGTTAGGTCTTAACCCTTTTTTCCTTGTGTTTTGTATAGGACAATGGATTTTCCTGGTCACTTTGAGCAGATCTTTCAACAGCTGAACTACCAGAGACTTCATGGGCAGCTCTGCGACTGCGTCATTGTAGTGGGGAGCAGGCATTTCAAAGCGCACCGCTCCGTGCTGGCGGCATGCAGCACGCATTTCCGGGCTCTCTTCTCTGTGGCTGAGGGAGATCAAGCCATGAACATGATCCAGCTGGATAGTGAGGTGGTGACGGCAGAGGCCTTTGCCGCCCTGATTGACATGATGTACACCTCCACCCTCATGCTAGGGGAGAGCAACGTTATGGACGTCTTATTGGCAGCCTCTCACCTGCATCTGAACTCGGTTGTTAAGGCTTGTAAACATTACCTGACGACAAGGACGCTGCCCATGTCTCCCCCCAGTGAGCGCGCTCCGGAGCAGAGCGCTCGCATGCAGCGCTCCTTCATGCTGCAGCAGCTGGGACTGAGCATCGTGAGCTCGGCCCTCAGTTCCAGCCAGAGTGGCGAGGAGCCACCTGCCCCCATTAGCTCATCCATGCGCAACAACCTGGACCAGCGGACACCCTTCCCCATGAGACGCCTTCACAAGCGCAAGCCGTCTGTAGAGGAGCGGGCCCGGCAGCGCCTCCGACCCTCCATGGACGAGGCAGCCATTTCAGATGCTACCCCAGAGAGCGGGCCTTCGGGAGTCCTTTCTCGGGAGGAGTTCTTTTCACCAGATTCTCTGAAAATTGTGGATAACCCTAAGCCCGATGGGATGGCTGACAACCAGGAAGACAGTGCTATGATGTTTGATCGGCCTTTTGGTGCCCAGGAGGATGCCCAGGTGCCCAGCCAGTCAGACGGCACTGCTGGCAACATGGCCTCCCGCGCAACTCAGGTGGAGGCCGGTTTTGAGCAGGAAGCTGTAGCTGAGAAGGGCAGCTTCCAGTGTGAAAACCCCGAGGCCGGCCTTGCGGAGAAGGAGCACATGAGGGTGGTGGTGAAGTCCGAGCCGCTGAGCTCTCCCGAGCCGCAGGACGAAGTGAGCGATGTCACCTCCCAGGCGGAAGGCAGCGAGTCTGTGGAGGTGGAGGGCGTGGTGGTCGGGGCCGAGAAGATAGACCTCAGCCCCGAGAGCAGCGATCGGAGTTTCTCGGATCCCCAGTCCAGTACAGACAGGGTCGGGGACATCCACATTTTGGAAGTCACAAATAATCTAGAACATAAGACCTCTTTTAGTATTTCAAATTTTCTCAGCAAGAACAGGGGGAGTAACTTTAGCACAAGTCAGAGCACCGACGACAACATCCCAAACACCACCAGTGACTGCCGGCTGGAGGGTGAGGCCCCTTACCTGTTGAGTCCAGAGGCTGGGCCTGCAGGCGGGCCTTCCTCTGCTCCCAGTTCCCATGCAGAGAACCCATTCAGTGAGCCTGCAGACCCCCACTTTGTCAGGCCTATGCAGGAGGTGATGGGCCTGCCGTGTGTGCAGACCTCAGGCTACCAAGGAGAACAATTTGGGATGGACTTTTCCAGGTCTGGCTTGGGTCTCCACTCTTCTTTTTCCAGGGCAATGATGGGTTCCCCAAGAGGAGGAGCTAGTAACTTTCCATACTACCGACGCATAGCTCCCAAAATGCCGGTTGTAACTTCTGTCAGGAGCTCACAGATGCCTGAAAACTCCTCTGGTTCCCAGCTGATGATGAACGGGGCCGCCTCATTTGAAAGCGGTCACCCTTCCCAGCCCGGCCCTCCGCAGCTGACCAGGGCGTCCGCCGATGTCTTGTCGAAGTGCAAGAAGGCCTTGTCGGAGCACAACGTCCTGGTTGTGGAGGGGGCTCGCAAGTACGCCTGCAAGATCTGCTGCAAAACCTTCCTGACCCTGACAGACTGTAAGAAGCACATCCGAGTGCACACGGGCGAGAAGCCCTACGCCTGCCTCAAGTGTGGCAAGAGGTTCAGTCAGTCCAGCCACCTGTACAAGCACTCGAAGACCACCTGCCTGCGCTGGCAGAGCAGCAACCTCCCCAGCACCTTGCTCTAACCATCTCCTCGTGAGGCATCGTGGGACAGTTGTGCACCCAGATTAAAATCGCTCTTGGCAGGCAGCTAATGCCACTGGACCTGAGGCCTCGGCTGGCCAGCGGCTCCTTGCATCTCAGCCAGTGGCTAGCAGAGAGCTGTTAGGTGTAGTCCTGACGCCGAGAAGTCACTCTTAGTGTAGTCCTGACGCTGCAGCACTTCTGAGTGAGGTATGCACCAACTCCTTCCTTAGGGTTGAGGAATGCAGTCATAAAGTAGTTTGTCATTGGTGGTAAGAGTGTCATATTTTAAAATGGAACTATTTAACACTATTTTAAAGCCCTGTGAAGCAATTAATTAAATTCCCTACATCCTCTGGTGGGCTGCACAGCAGTGCAAAGCATGCGTGTAAGCAGTTGACTTGGTGGTAACTGAACAAAGGCCCTGGAGGACAAGCCTGTCGGTCACACTGCTTTAACGTGTCTGAGCTAGTCCGAGGCTGCAGAAAGTACTGTGTCCCTTTTCAGTCTGAGTTGCAGTCTCTGACTGCCCTGACGGTGCTGATACTAGGTCCAGGTGGACACGCCCTTGGACTAACAGGTGTATACACCTTTGAATCATCTCTGTGGAACCGGTGTTTTTATTAACTTTTCTTCTGCTTTTAAAAATAAAGTTGTAAGTGGAGTATGTACTTGTAGGGAGTGACAGTGAGGTGTTTCTGTGCGTGCTGTGTTAGCAGTGTTTTAATCAATGTGTTTCCCATGCAGTAGTTCTGTTGGAAGTCAGCAGGGACTAGTGTCCGTCTTCGTTCTGGTGATATGGGGTCCTGTTTTGTGGGTTTTCACGGTGCATTTGTCTTTTACTCCATCCAGATGTCCAAACCAGCCCGGTCTGGCTGGTCTCGCCACCCGCCATCACCTGCTCTGCTCTGTCACTTCTTACTCCCAAGCCCCATAGAGCCTCTCTCCCAGGCAGAGCCAGCGGAGCCAAGCGCAGCAGCCATGGTTTATACCTCAGCTGTCAGTGGTGCCGCTCCTTTAACCAGTACTCGGCGTTCCGTCATCTAAACCTAAATGTGGTAGTGGTAGTGTTCATAGCTCTGTGCTTTCCAGGCTTTGCAAGAACTAGGCAGCCCCCACACAGCATAGAACTCACCAGAAACATTCAAGGTTCTTGGAGAGGCGTTCAGTTCTCTGTCCAGGACCTCTGCGTCCTCCTTGCTGTCATGGCGCCTGTTCTGGCATGCACCCAGGGGACAGCACAGGTCCATGCAAGTCTGTAGGCTCATTTAGTTCAGTCATGGACAAGAATTCCTATTTTTCTCATACCTTTTCTCAGAGATGCCAAACCATTGTACACAATTCAGAGGAATTCAGTTCTTTAGTGTAGAAAACTGCATATTTATGTATTTCCTAAAACAAATGACTGTGTGTCTTCTCTTAAGCTAGTGTGACCATGAATCTGTGGATAGACCTGTAATGTCCTAAGAGGGCATGCCACCTGAACTGATTCCCAGGGAGGTCAGCCCAGATGGAAACCCGACCCTCTTCCTGAGCAGGTGCGTGGGAAGACCAGCGGAGGCAGTGGGGTCACTTGAGGATTGCCGTGTGGCTCGTCGGCAGTCTGTTGAGACATGATGTAGGTGCCAGTGGGGTGAGTCGGGGGCAGCATGTAGAACCAGGGATGCCGGCTGGGTGAGGAGCCAGTGTCACAGGCAGGGAATGGCGGTCGTTCTTCCTTCTGCCTTAAGGACGTGGCGCCTGGCGTCTGTCCCTCACTCAGCTTGGGTATGAACGGACTTTGCTTTGGGGCCTGCCTCTCTACTGCTGGACGGACCTGGGATCTCATCTACCTCGTTGAGTCAGTCTCTACGTGTGAGGAGCAAGCTTGCAGGCCAGTGTCCTCCAACATGCTGCAGCACTTAAAGGTTCCCAAGGGTCCCTGGGGACTAGACCAGGGCTGCTGTGACCTGGAGTTCTACTGGGATTCTAACTGGCACTGGGGACCCGACTTTTGATTTGTAGCCTTAATTATAGCCCGGCATAATCATGTACAATCTTCTGGAGATGGCGTCAAGTATAGAGGCACCCTGTCGGTGCCAATGCTGGTCAAAACAGATTTGGAAATAAAAAAAATTGTCATACTCATGCCTCTAAATACGTGTTCACCTCTGTCTAGGTTAAGGCCGAGACACAGCAGGGAAGTGCTTCTCCCCGGCCCACCTGTCTGTGCCGTGCCTGCCTGAGGGGAGGAGTGAAGGAGGATTTAAAGGAGCGTCTACTGGGGTGCAGAGGGAACGGGTGGACACGGACCCCGACCCTGGGAGTCCTCCTGCCTTCTCAGGCTGACCACAGTGCTGGCCTTGCCTCCCCTGGCTTGCAGTTTCCTCCCCTCTTGTCTCTTCTGTCACCACGGTCTAGGTGTTGGTTTCAGGTTCCATGTTTTTCTGGCTCTGCTTTTCTTTCCTCAGTGAGGGGAAAGGCAGTTTGGGTGAGGGGAATGTGGGAAGCAGAGTCAAGGCAGATCACCAGGCGCCTGAATAGACAAACCCAAGGATGCTCCTTTTATTAGTGCCCCTAGTCACAGGCCCAGCTGCTGTGTCAGGTTATTTAGTGCCAGAATCACAGGCTCTTGGCCTGGATGCGGCAAGCCCATTTGCCAGTCCCCACATCCTCCTGGAGATGTAGTCGTGGAGGCTTCCACCAGGCTCTTTCCTGAGTCCCAAAGTCCAGCAAGATGTCTCCAGCCCACGAAAGCCCCTCTGGCTACAGCTTGAGCTCACTGGGCATCGTCTCCCCTCTTAGGCCAGCCAGCAAGTTGTTAGCAGCCAGCAAGGACATGGTGTTGCGAGTTTTGTAGGTGGCGCTGCCGATGTGAGGTAGGATCACTGCGGAAGAAAGAAGCATTGGTCCCAGACTACCAGTCAACAGGACAAAGGTTCTATCTCGCTACCCATCACTGCATCCTCCGCCGCGCCCTCCAAGACTGAGCTTCCCCATGAACACCATTCCCTCAGGTTCAACGGAGCAAGTCCTGAGACCCAGATCCAAACAAAAGATTTGAACCCTTAAAAGGATGGTAGGCAACAGGGAGTCTTGTTGCCCATCTGGATAGTGAAACTGGGCACCTGCTCAGGAGCCCAGCCTTGCAGGCACTACAGCCTGCACCCTTGAGAGTGATGGCACAGGGCTTCTGAGCTGAAGTAACTCCACGATAAAAAGCTGGGCAACACTAGGTGCTCTGTCCCGGTGCTGAGCAAATGAGAGCTGCCTGCCTTCCGGAGCTGAGTGGGGACAGAGCCAGCTTTCCTGGCTGCGGACTGTAACCCTGACATCACAGTCAGTGTTCCTAGCAGGCTGGCACGGGGGTGGAGTCAGCAGGATTGCCAAGAGCTGACATAATGGGAGCCTTCACTGAAGAGACAGCAAGAACCTGTTTGGGCTTCCTCTCCAGAACGCAGAGGGACACCCGTAGGCCTGATGCCTCCCGTGAGTCTGGAGACAGAAACACCACCATTTCTTGAAGAGGGAGCAGAGGCACCAGCATCGCATTGTCAGGGCTCGTTAAGGGCGGTCTCGGGCTACAGTCCAGATCTGCAGAAGCCCTTGGGGCACGACCTGGTAACCAGTGACCCAGTCCCTCCAGGAGACAACAAACTAGACCCACTGTACTTGCTGACAGAGCAGCAATAGCCAGAAGCATGCAGGGCCCTCGGAACAAAGAGAAGGGAGACTTAAAATGCCCAAGGCGGAAGAATGGCCCAAACTCAGAAGTCTGGGGGCACTGATGGCTGGTGAGCCAAATATTGGAAAAACCGAAAGCTGGACTCTCCAGCCACAACATGAATGAGCTGTTGGCTGCTAGAAGCTTCCTGTCTGGTACCAGTTGTAAACACTGGTGGTGTCCTTACTTTTCCACGCACTGGTAATAGCCAGTTATCTCCATGAGTAGCTATAGGAGTGTGGTCAGCCTTCCTTTAACAAACCCATTTGCTTCTTGGGTCTGTCTCCATGGGGATGGGGACTTAGTTGAGCATCACACTCCTGTTAAACACCAGTCACTAATAGCCTACACACTCCTAGTCCCTGGCTGTGTCCTCTGGGCTAGCATTGCCCCCGCTAACTCCATAGCCAGGCCTCGACTACTCAACACTCTGTAGGGTAGCTGTACATTTGCACTGGAAACTGCTCTTACCACAGTTCTTCAGGGTTAGCAGTGGGTGATTTGGAGGCAGTGGTTCCGGAGTGGTCACGTCTAGTCCTGCTGCTGCCAGCTGACCACTGGTTAATGCCTGGTACAGGTCATCCTGGTTTACCACATCTCCCCTGGAAGGGACAGGTGGTCATCTGGGGACCCAGACACACCCTCCACCCAAGCTACCTTTAGGGCAGAATGACCCACAGAATGTATTTTTCCACTCATCACCTGGCACGGACTTTTTTTTTTTAAAGATTTATTTATCATATATACATTGTTCTACCTGCATGCCAGAAGAGGACACCAGATTGAATTGTAGATGGTTGTGAGCCACCATGTGGTTGCTGGGAATTGAACTCAGGACCTCTGGAAGGGCAGTCAGTGCTCTTAACCTCTGAGCCATCTCTCCAGCCCCCTGGCACGGGCTTCTAAGGCTGGTAAACGTTAGCACACAATGGGAGTCTGCATATAAATGCTAGTTCTGACTTGAGCCCTGCCACTTATTAGTGTGACAGAGCTAATGAACTTTCCTGGGCTCCTGAGGAAACCCTAACTTCCTGGAACACTGGGGTTGGGAGTACTTCGCAGACTCTGAAGGTCCCTCTGTAGGCCCCACCCTTTGTAGCTGAGGGAAGTGGGCCTGCTGGGAGCCAAGCCCTGAGCAAGGTTAGGCTGAGCAGGGGACCTGAAGGCTGACTCATCTTCCTCATCCATTTCTCAAAGGGACAGAAACCCAGGTCACAGGGGTAGACACAGCCCTCAACAGGAGTGCTTGGGGACCCAGGGAGGAGGGCAGCCCTCGGCTACCTGCTGATGTTGATGAAGACAGCTGTGCTCTTCATCTTCTGGAAGAACTCCTTGTTGCAGAGCCCCCTGGTAGCAGGTGTTAAGGAGCAGGACACGACAATGAAGTCAGACTCTGCGGCCAGCTGAGCAATAGGCACTGGGGGAGGGGAGACTTTATCAGAGGCTGAGTACCAGCGAGGGACAGCAGAGGACAGCGACATGGGTAGCTCCCACCTCACACAAAAGAAACTCCCAGGATGCCAGGCATGACGGCACACACTAGGAATTCCAGAGGCTGAGGCAGGAGGACTACCTTAACTCGGAGCCAGCCAGAGCTACACAGTGAAACCGTCTCCAGAATCAATGGGCCAGGGAGGTGTCTGTCAGTAAAGTGCCCCGTACAAGCATGAGGACCTGAGTTTGCATCCCCAGGACCCACCTGAGAATCCGGGCAAGACTAATTCCAACCCCAGAGAGAGAGCGCGCTCACTGGCCTCCCACTCTAGTGAGTTCTAGGTTCAGTGAGACCAAGTCTCAAAACTATGATGGAGGAGCTGGAGGACGGCTCAGCACTTAAAACGATCACGAGAGCCAGAGTTCGGGTGTCCGCACCCACATAACATCCAGAGTATGCCTGTAACGTCAGCTCTGAGCAGGCAGAGACAGACATCAATTGCTAGGACTTCCCACCTAGATGAGAGAACTCGAGGTCTAGGACACATGATGGAGGTCTGTGCTCATGAGTGGCCTTCTGTGTCCCAAGCAGAAGTCCCCAGACACCTCATGCTCCTGCATTCTGCCTATAAGTGACACACCACCACCACCACCGCCACCAAGCCCAGATGGACTCCAGGAGAAATCAGGACTTTACTTACCAAACTCTGCCTGGAATTCTGCAGCTTCCTGAGGCCTGGGCTGGCGCCCCGTGTAGAGAAATCTCTGGACACCAAATGGTTTCAGTCGCCGAGCAATGGCCTGACCTAGAGGCAAGGAGTCCACAGCTTGCTCCCACCTTCCCGAGGGCAAGGGCAGGTGACCCTTCGAGGTGGATGCTTGTTCTGTCGCAGTGGAGCTGGGCTACCCCAGTAACCAACCCCTACAGTACCCTGTTCTCGTGGATTTAGGGGCAGTGCCGCACACTGTAGGTGGACTGGTTTACCCTGGCTTCACATGGTTCCACTCATCCCAAGGGCCATTTGCTGACTTTCTCCAAGAACTGGTGTGGCACCTCTGAAGATAGGGGGTCAAGAGGTCCCCTCTCCTGAACTCTACCTCTGTAAACACAGCCCTGCATCTTGACTTTTGGTGGCATTGCCCAGCTGCCAACTTGTCCCACAAGACTTACAAGAGTTTTTCACACATGCTGCTGCCAACAAGCTTGGACACTTTGGTCCTCAGAACACACCCCAGGTTGTTGGATTCCTCCAAGAAGCTCCAAGGATTGCTGGCTGACCAGACAGGTTACCTCATTCTCCACCCCCTGGCTGCCTCTGTACATGCAGGATGGCAGCACCCTAGCCTCCTACCAGGCTTCTGAGGTGACGGCACTGAAGGGGAGGGGACCCTCAGCTGCAACTGCAGAGTGGGAAATAGCCTGCCTTCCAGAACCAGGGTCCAGAGTTGGTACAGGCTTTCCCACAGGAAGCTGCTTCCCATGGCTAGCCCAGCACCTTATAGTCTTTATGTTCATTAGAACCCTGGGTCTCTACAAATTGTCCCTGTGAGCTCTTGAGCTTGCGTTGTTTTCTTCTTGTAGTCACACAGACGTCCCCTCCAAAGGACACCCATCGTCCAGGCTTATGGCACCGGAGACTCAACATAAGGAAAGTTGGGAGCAGGGAGTGGGGCCTCACCTATGCGCCCCAGCCCCACAATGCCAACAGTGCTCTGCGAGAGTCCGTAGCCGCACATCCATAAGGGCTTCCATGAGCTCCAGCCGCCGCTGTGGGGAGATGGTGGGATTAGCCCGACCTTGGGAAAAGACAAGCGGAGCCCACACACTGAGCCCTCCTGGCCTTGGTCTGAAGCTAGTCCTGCCTCCAGGTCATAGGCAAAAGTGGCTGACAACAAAATGGCTCTTTTGAAGCTAACGGGACACAGCAAGCGGGGCTACCGGGAGCTTTAGAAGTACCCCTGCTTGTGTAGATGGGGAACCCTGCA